TTTCTGATTTATGGTAGGGGGGATAACGCTACTCATAGATGCACGGGGTTTGGGGTCTACTGAGGGCGGCTGTCGTGCAATTAAGCGAGTATGGTCTATAGTGCACTAGAGATCTTAGTAGGGAGCTGATTGAAGGTCGGCGCAGAGGTCGCGGTCGATACCGTGCTGGAATTGTCAGGAAGTTGAAATAATTGCAGGCCAGCAGGAGGCTAGAGTCAGTCGCAGTCGTACTCCTACTGTACGCTACCGACCGGTTATGGCGCTGTTCCCAGAGAAAAGGAGCAGTCGCGATGGGGACAAGGGCAGGTGGGGGAAGTGGATGATTGGCCAGGTCAGAGTCCGAGAGAGGTAGAGTAGGTAGAGTAGGTAGGTGTAGGTACCGGTATTGAGAGGACGAGGGGGGAACAACAACAACACAATAACACAACAACACAACAACACAACAACACAAAAACACAACAATAGTGACAACAACAAGAAAAAAGGCCAATTGGTGTTGGTGTGCTACAGTGTGGAGGTGGAGGTGGAGTGGTAGGCGTGGGCAGTGGCGGGGGTGGCGGCGACGGCGATGACAACGACGGTCGGTGGTGTGGGTGTGGTAGACTGGTGGTATGGCTGGTGGTGGTGGAGGGTGTGGTGGGGTGGAGCCGGTGATGGTGATGGTGATGGTGATGGTGGTGGTCAAGTCAGTCAGTTTCTACATTCAATGGAATATCACTAGATGGCTGAGCGTCCATGCATGAACTTCTCATCTCTTGTCGTCGTCGGTAGCTCAAACCACAGCACGCTACACTTCTACACTCCACACCCTACTCTAGCGAGGCCACCGGCTTCCAGCCAGCCAGTTACCTACGGTTTAGCCATGATGACAGGACGAAGGACGACTAGGGGATAGCGACTGCTATACTACTCTACTCTACCCTATCTCCCTAGCTCCCTCCCTCCCTCCCATCCATCCATCCTCCCATGGCTGGCCTAGCGCTGGATCGGCTCCCGCACGCAAACCATAGCTCGACATGCCTACCGGTACCACCTGGTCCAGGCTTCAGACTGTCAGACTCGCTCCCTGATAGCTGATAGGTAAATTCCTTGCAACTCTTACTCTATACCCACCTAGGACACCATCTACCATCTACACCATACCCATACCCCATACACTGACCACTCTCTCTACCTACTGCTGTATTGTACCCTACCTACACAACCGACCATCCACCGGCCCTTTTTCCCTAGTCCACTGTCCCATGCCCATACCCACCCACCTAACCCACCCACACCACCTCACTTATATACAATACACCCACACACCACACCCCTCCTCTCCGCGCACGGCCAAGGCGGTGGGTGCAGTATCAAGCAAGACGGTCTTCCCCCCCCCTCCCCCTCCCCCCCCTCCAAATTTAAAAAGAGGCCCATGATAGAAGGAAGGCGAGCTTGCCTGGCTTGCTAGTGAGTCACATTGCGCGCGCCCTCTTTTTTGCCCAAGCAGCTGGTGGGCTGCTGGGGAAAGCTGAGACAGCTTTGGGATGGCACTTCCCCCCGAGTCATCATCATCTGAGGCTATCCTGGCCCAACATGGTGGTCGCAGGACCAGGATGCAGCCCAGCTTGGACATGGGAATGAGGAAATCGCAATCCCCTAGAGAGCAGAGCCACACACGGGTGCGAAGAGAACAGGTACATGGCCCATATGGCCAACCATGACCATGACCATGACCAGGTCCATGTCCAGGTAGGTAGGTAGGTAGGTAGGTAGAGTAGAGTAGAGTAGGCACAGCTTATACTCTACACTCCAGAGCCGCCTCTCTGGCTGCGAACGTATATTATCCTGCACCGCCCGCCTCTCTTGTAGTCCAATAATCCCTCCTCGTTGCCTGTTCGCCGCCAGAAGAGCAGAGAATACAATCTACCGTCTTCCAAGACTCCAACCTGTCCTGCTCACTTCCTCTCTCTCTTCCTCTTCCCCTTCCTCTTCCCCTTCCCCTTCCTCTTCCTCCATCTTCCTGTGTGGGTGTGGAGACAGAATTCAGATAGGCTCCCCCCCCAAACCCCCATGTGCAGTGGACCAACATTCTGTGCCTCGTCCTCCACCAGACGTCTACCACTACCACTACCACTACCACTGCCACTACTACATCATCCACATCTCGTCTTACCCTACAGCGGCTGCCGCCATCGCCGCACCAGACACGGCAGACTCGCACCGTTGCTGCTGCTGCTGCTACTGCTGCTACTGCTGCTACTGCTGCACGGCATCGCCAGGCATCCTCGTGCAGCCGTGGCATCTTATTTTGTTCGAGCGCTCGCTTGCCGCGCCCCGCAGCAACCCCAAGTCGCAGTTCGCTCTTCTCGCACCACACCGTCGTGTGTGGTTGACTGCCCCTCCCCCTCTCCTCTCTAGGGGCCCTGCCAGCCATCTGCCAGTCAGTGTGCTGAGCACTGTCAACACTGTCTGTCAACCGCAAAGTCCGTCCCACTTTGCGCCCAAACAACGCCCGCTTTCGCCCGCCGACGCCGCCCGCTTGGCAAGCCCAACTTACTACAGTAGCGCCACGATCTGTCTGACCGCCTTCCGGCTTGCGGGCCTCTCTTTCGTCTCTGGCCGCTACTAGTAGTATTCTATTCCCTGGCCGCCGCCCGCCGTCTTCATTGTCGCCGTCGTCGTCTTGACTCTTTTTCCCCTTGACTCTTTTTCCCCTTCCCGCTCCAGCTGCTCCGTCCACTCCGCCGTCATCGTCGGCTCTTCCCAAAAGAGCACTCGCGGTTGCAAACCCACGGCGCCCTCTTTCTGACGACTGACACTGACACTTTACCCACCGCACGCACAACAGCAACAGCAACTCTTGCCCGTTGCACACCGTCGGACCCTTGTTCTGCGACCCATTGGCAATACCCCCCGAACATCCCGCACCCTTGAGCCTCCCCTCCTCCCCCGCCATCCACCGACCATTTGCTGCCACTACAGATCCCCAACTGGCAGCATCCACATCCAGCAATCTACCCTCCACGTTGCACAAATCCGCCCCCAAAGCGTACCCCTCCCACCAGCCTTCCCCTCGTCCTCTCTGCGCCGCATCTTCTTTCTGCGAGTCGACCACCCAGAGCGGAACAGAGCCACACATACCACCCTCTCTCTCTTCTCTCCACTCTCACCTCAGCATCCTCGCCTCAATACCTGTCCGACCGGACTGCCCGGCCCCAACACCGACCCCACCGATACTACCCACACCACCACAACCACGTCCCTGCCTCGACAAGTTTGCTATCTTGTGAACCACAGCAGGTAGCCGCAATTCGAACGACGACGACTGCTGCTGCTATCACCACCACCACCACCACCACTACTACTACTATTACCACCACCAACACCACCACCACTACTACCCCCGCCACCATCACAACTCTCAATCTCGAATCGGATTCTCCCAAAAGGATTGTCTAGACCCCTGCAACTGCCAGTCTGGCCGCGGTTGCACCAAACCTAGAAGCGAGGTGAGTCAAAGCCCGAGCGCGCACCTGCCCTCTAGTACACCATCACCACCATCACCACCGCTACTACTATTATTACAACCACTACCACCACGGCTTCAGCCGGGACCGCAAAAGATCGCCAAAAACGATACTGCGGGCTCGGTGCGACGGTTTCGCTGCTTCTGTCCCCCTGTGCCACCCCTCTCCCCACCACCGGGGTGCAGCACGGTTGTCGTCCGCTGTCGCTCGCCTCGCTGGTTACCACCTGTGCGCCACAACTCATGCATCCTACCCTACAACCGCTCAACACTTCCTCATTGCTGGACCGTGCGCTAACCAAGATCCCCTCAGCATCGATTCAGAGAGCCGCAGCCACGAGCGCCCACCAGAATTTACAGGCAAAGAGTCCCGCATCTGGATTCCCCACGACTGCATCTCTCCCCCTGCCTGACACTTTGGTCGACAGATCATCCCTTGGGATCTGGTCTCGCAGCGGCACATAGCAGCTAGCCACAGTCGTGCGTGAGCCTCATCGCCGTCCAGGAATAGAATTCTACCTGGTGAGTAAAGTGCGTCGATAAAAAAACAATTCCCCCTTCTCCTCTAGTCGACTCGGCATGCTAACTGGGCTCTGCAGACAATCACTAGTCTGCATCCCTTTACATCAGAGGGCTTGCTAGGTATATCAGACATCACAAGTGAAGTCCTTAGCTTGCTCCAGTGTCCTTGTGCACTTCTGATAGCAAGCGTCTGCCGGGACCCTTATAGGGACACAGGCCGTCTCGTGCTGCAATCATCCTGCCAGCCTACGAGTGCATTCCTCAGTCATTTGGTTGGGTCGAAGACAGATCGTTTCAGATCTCAAAGTTCGGCACCAACGTCGGCCCTCGGCCTCCCACTTCCACATTCCTGGGTTCACTGCAACCTCTAGTATGCCAAAGCCTAGTAAGTACGCCTCTTGTCACATCCCCCCCACCCTACACTGTCATGAGAACACACCGTCAGTGCGCCCGCCTCTTTTCTCTCTTATATCACTGTCACCGATTCCATGTTTCCGTGTTTTCCATCACCACCCCACCCATTCTCTCCTTTCACCAGTCCTCTCTCCATCCTCATCTCTACCATGTACTATGGAACCATACTGACTGTCCCCCAAGCGGACTCTTTTTTCACTCCTCCATCTTCCTACTCTCCCCAGAAGACTCTCGCGAGGCTGGACCTTGGATTGGACTCGCCCTCTGACGACGTGCTAGACGCTGATATCTTCAACATGACTGGCACAGGATCGCCTCAACCCTTTATCAAAGAAGAGGTGGACGACATGTCCTTCAACACAAACCGCTTCGTCGGCCACAACGGCTTTGACTTGAATCAGCAATACGGCAATGCTCAATTTGGCTCCAACCACGATAATGTCAACCCTTCGGAACTCAACATGAGTCAAAGCATGATGGGTGGTCAATTTGGATCCACCAGTTACATTCAGGGTGCCGCAGGTATCGCCGATGATGAGCTTGCCGACTCTCTGGGTGGTGGCTACGACCAGCAGCCAAATTACAATGCGTTCGGTCACGGCAGCAACCATCATCAGGACTACTACCAGAATCACGGCAGCAACCCTACCATGAACCAGATGTATTCGAATACGCCGGATGATTTGCCTATTCAAAGCCCCTTTGTTCACCCTGGTGCCTTCGACTTCAATCAGTACCAAACTCCGTCACGAATAAACTTTCCTGGCAGCCTATCAAATGCCATGCGACCAGGACGCGCCTCGATGAGCAGGCATGCTTCAGACAGCCGTACGCCCATGTCCCCCAAGACGCCGGGCATGACTTCACTCAATATCGGAACACCTGATTCTGGCAACTTTACCACTCAACCGATCATGACCAACACACGTGGTGGTCACAAGTCGACCGTCTCCATGTCCAACCCGGGGAGTATGCCGTGGGAGGGTACGCCTGGCAGCCCACACTCGTGGATCGATTCGCCTGCGTCGCCTCACACGGCTACTATGCATCACCAGCAGATTGCCGATGTCCTGCATTCGGGCAAGCATAGCTCTCTACCCGCCAAGGTTGATATCGGCCAGACACAAGACGCAAAGAAGCGTCGTCGCCGCGAATCGCACAATCTGGTGGAGCGCCGCCGAAGGGATAACATTAACGAGCGCATTCACGACCTGTCTCGTTTGGTACCCCAGCACCGTCTTGAAGACGAGAAGATTCGCAAGCACATCAACAACAACGGACCCATGTCACCCACCATGGGCACTAGTGGCATGTCGCCACCGCAGGCGACGTCGCTATTGGCTGGTGGCAATGGGAGGCGGGCCGCCGGTAACATTACACAAGGCCTGCCAATCGAAGACAAAGACAAGGGACCGAACAAAGGAGACATTCTCAACGGTGCCGTCAGCTGGACTCGTGACTTGATGTGGATGTTGCACAAGAAGATCCAGGAGTGCGACGAGTTGGCTGCCCGCCTTCAACAAGCCACGGGCGAGGAATGGCCGACGGAGCAGTCCGAGGACGAAAAGCGAATGAAGACGGAGATCATGGAAGCACTCGAGAAGAACGGTACTGGCACCTTTCGATACTCCAGAGGGCCAGGCTCCGGACTCCGGGTACCTCACCACACCAACCTTGCTGGCGAGCCCCTCAATGGCATCTCACCTCAGAGCCTAAGCCCGGGCATGCAGAGCACTGGCAGTGGATCGGGTTCCAACCAACAGTACTGGTCCAACCAGAGCTTAAAGGAAGAAGATGAATATGGCATGGACATGGGTTAGGACTGTTCTGTTGTCTGATTCCTTCTTTCATTATCTGCCATTTCCTTCGTCGTCGACTTCGTACCTATGATACCCCGCGATACCCCCCGCATCCAGTTCCTGCCTCCTGTTGCTGATGCACCCACAAAGGCGAAGCGAAATCGTCCCAACTGGCATCACTCGCCCTCATGAGTCGCTTGGAGACTCGCTCCCCCGTGGATGAGGTGCATCCCCGTCTCTGCTGGTCACGGATGGAGCAAGCCTTCCACTTCGTTTCCATCACGACCCTCCCGCCTCTTTGCATAACAGGAACACCACCCCATTTCTCTGGCGTTGCTGCCTCCCTTGGCCTGTTTTCTTTCGGTTCTTCGACTACGCACGAAGGCTTTCGCTGCGGTTTGGCTCGCTGCCAGGTTTGTTGACAGCGAGCGTCTCTTTCTACAGGCTGTCTCCTTTCGGTTGTCTGGTGGCAAGCGCACCATCGTCTGCTGACGACTGTGCGCAACTCTCTTTTTTCCCCTGGGCGTGTACTGATTTTTTACTCGACACCACTCCATTGTTTGCCCTTTACTCTCATTAGCAAAGCACGCGATTTGGGATACGATCAGCATGTTGTATAGCGGCGCTGGGACGGATGTGCGCTATACTGCTAGGCAGGTACAAGACTGTTAGATGGATTCAGTATTACGGACGAAACGGATGAATAGCGCCCTGAGTAGGGCAGATGGACATGGCAATGGGCTATGATGATGTGTATGGGCTTGCAGACTTTTGTTTTTCGACGCTCTTGTTTGACATTTGCTATTTTTACTCTTGATGCGTATGGATTTGGTGTCATGTATGTCTCTTTAGCCGACGTCCTTTTGTCGCTCATCTTTTTAATACTGCACTGGCGACTCTTTATTGGAATTTCATGCTTGACCTATATCAAACTGCATGACGATGGTGATGAGAGTGATGATTAGCTTGTGACTTGTATAAGAATTGCCCAAGGACAATGGCGTGACAACGTCTGTATATCCTAGACATGTCTGTATGGATGCAAGTGTCCATGTCTATTCATGGAACCTGTCTGTAGAGAGAAAGAGATGTATAAATAGCGTTGACAAATCCAAGTCTTACTTTACAAGATTAGATGAGTGATGATTCGACCAAGTCAAGTCATACATACGGACAAGTGTCAATTCACTTTCAATCAACTACACATTACACATCTCTCTCTCTCTCTCTCTCTCTCTCTCTCCACAAGCAAACTTACCCGAGAATAGCACCCCCCTCTCTCCCATCAAGACAGTCAAACCATCCTCTCACCAGACCCCCAACCACACATTCGTCCCCTCACGTAACACAAACCTCCATCTCACAAAACGTCCAGCCAACTCCCACCCCCCCTCGCTCTCCTTCCCCTCTCCCCCCATCCCCCCTCGCCACCGTTCCAAGCATGCATATGCTTACACGAAGCGCGCCATTCATCTTCGTACACGGTCATGGTCTAGTCCATCCACAGCCACCCCAGGCTCTACCTACTACACTGCTAAACTACTATACTGCATCGCCGTACTCTACATCGCCCTCGCCCTCACCCTCGCCCTCCATGTGACAGCGAGGCACCTGAAAAGCCCAACAGCCCACAGCCCACCCCACCCCGCCTCCCGAGGAGCCGTGATCCGGGCATGCAAGTGAAAACAAAGAACGAGGGCAAAAACCACAAAAGAAGAAGAAAAGAAAAAGAGAGTCATCTGTTCTTTGTTCACAATCATGAGCATGATCATGGTTTCCAAGTACACCGTAGGTCATCAGCCGAGATTCTTGTGCAACGTTGCACGCTCATCGATTTCAATGGAGGGGGGCGTTTGTGCGCTGGGTCGGCTGGATCGGATCTGCAGGCGGGAGGGGGGGAAGGGAGGAGGGGGTCCTCCAAGTGTGTGATTGCATGTCTTGGTTTGAATAGTAAATCGCTTTGCGACACCGTATATTGTGCTAGCGTCAAACCGGCATGGCTTGTTGCGTGGTTGCGGGATAAAAGTGAGTCGGTTGCAAACCATGGTGTGTGTGTACTAGAGATTTCAGAGTGGCTACAACGTCGTTTCTACTAGGCTCTAGTGTCGAGTGTAGGGTGCACGCTTGTGTGCGCGTACCTATATCTTGTACCCGATATAAGTTGGGTGCGCTAGTCGACGTGTGAGACAACCATTGCCACTGTGGCTCCGCATCTGCAGTGCAACACGCATTGCCTCCAAGGTCTGAGCCTCGCCTGCTGTGGCGTGACTCGGGTACAACGACCTCCTGTCTACGACATCTGTCATCGCTGTCGCTTTCTGCATGTCTCTGTCCAAATTCCCCTTGTTGCAGCAATAACCCCATCACTTTCGTATCCGACTACCAGCCTCGTCGATTCCAATGCCGCGTACAGCCCTTGTCTCTCCATGTCACGACTAGGCGGGCTGCATGTAACCTGTCAAAATGTGCAACTTCCCCACAGGACCGCGGTTGTGGTCACTTGTCTCCGCGGACAGACGGCCACGTCGGCTGATACGACGCTGATGAGCATGGAGAAGGAAGAGGATTCATCAGCCTGGGGTACGCTCGGCTACTCGGATGCTGCCGGACCACTGGCCAGGCGAGCCGGTACTGCTCATTCCAACTTCGGTACTTGAGCCGGGAGCTATGACCCGCGATGACTATCTTGAGCGCGAGGTTGCGATGGTTGGGGCGAGGTTGCATTGGCAGATGCAGTGGCAGTAGCAGCTGCGGGGCTAGGGCTATCGGTATCATCGCCAAAACCAAGATTTCGAAATGAGTCAGGAGCCATTAGATTCCTACATGAACAAAGATTGGTTAGCGCAGGTTCTTCAGCGCGAAGCTATTCCGAGCGCCAAACGCTTGCGCCTTGTTCGGTTGCTTCCGAGGCAGTGTGACGGCGTAAAGTGGGGGGAGAGCTGCAGTGATGGGTGTTGGCGGGTCGCTCTAGGGCGAGACGAGCAAGTGAGAGCAGGTGGAAGGCTGCCGATTCGATAACCCAGGCGTTTCAGATCTTGATCGGATCTTAGGAATGCGCAGTGCAGCATCGCTCCCTTGACCTCACTCTAGAGATTCCGAATACCTGGTCCAAAGCAGACTGACAGGCTGGTGTCACAAGATCTTCTCTGCCCTTGCTTGCGCGCCCACGGCCAATAGAAAGGGAGGAGGCCGAGTGCCAAAGATGGATAGCAGTGAAGAGGTTCGCTGGGTACGTACCGCTCCATACGGCATGACAAGTATGACTTGGAGAGATCGCGACACACAGAGTCGTTGGTGCCACGGTGGGATTTGATACATCGTAGGTACGCGTGCATGATACTCTTGCATTCGCCTGGAATGGCATGTCAGCCGCTCGAGCTCGAGTAGACGTGGGCGTGGAAAGGGAAGTCGATGGGTAAAGGCAGGCGGGCCGGCGGCGGCGGCGGCGGCGGCGGCGGCAACGGCGGTGGTTTTGTGACCATGTCGTTGCAGTGAACGTACCGTCATGATCCAAGGGAAAGGACCCGCGCTCAGGCCTAGGCGACAGGGCGGTCAGCCAATGTAGCAACGAGAAGCGTGGGAGCGGGGCAGGCATTGGGAGGCAAGCAGCCAGACAGGTAGACAGGCAGTTGCAATGCAACGCAACAGAAATTGGAAGGTGGATCTTACGGATTGGGCTTGTAGACTTTCTGCCCCAGCCCTGCGCCTCCAAAGTTGCTCATCCTTCTTTATGACGTGATGTGTGTGAGAGAGACAGAGGGAGGGAAGGGAGGGAGGGAGAGGGGTGAAAGAGAGAGTATGTGTAGGTAAGAAAGAGGGAAAGAGAGGAAGAGAAGAAGAACAAGGAAAGTATTCCGCAGGTCCGTGGCCGGGGTGGTGATGTGGTCGAGGTGGAGAGATATTTGGTGGAGTCTGGTGAGGTCTGGGTTACCTACCGTAAAGCTGACTAAGCCGACCGACGCTGACTAAGCCTATCCACCCCAAAGGTGACCAAGCGCACCCCAATCATCATAGCATGACGTTGGCCTACACCACTGTATTAACATTGTCGCCTTTCATGACCCTCCATATCCATAGACCAGCCGGATGTATGCCAGGATTAATTAATGACTGGACAAACTAAACGAATTCGGGGTATCAAATCGACAAGCGCACGCAAACTATGGTAAACCCGACTGCTGCACTACCAGTGCCTCGTCACAACAAGCCATCCCTTCTCCCTCACAGCGTTAAACAGCGCTGCCACCCTCTTCCTCTTGATCCCCTCTCGAGGCGAAACATCTTCAATCGCATGCTTACCATCCAAGTGTCGCAACAGCATGCCCCAGCTCTCTTTGAGCTCCTTGCCCGTCACGCCAAAAGCAACTTCAGCATGCTTTGGTGGACTGGGATTCGCAGATATGAAAGCTGCCTTTTCAAAAGACTCTGCAATCTTGTCGAGCCATCTTGCTTCTAGCGACGATGCTTTCTGTGGTGACAATATAGTGGTAGCCTTGAAGTCCTTGGCTGTTGGACGCGGAGCGGCCGTCTCAAGAGATGGAGGCGAGGCGGTGGAGGCACGAGATGGAGACGTAGGCTTCAGATGCAATGGAGAGGGTCGGAAAGGCTTCATGTCTCTGACTGCAAGGTGCGACGGTGATTCGGCCCTGTGTGATGGATTTGGTCCAATCGTGGTGCGTTGACTGCTAGCACTGCCAGCATCGGATGCGCTTCGAACAACAGTACCACGATACTGCGCCATAGCCGTGGCCATGGCCGATGCCGTGAGTTGCGGGCTGAGGATAGTACTAGCTTCCATCTCCTCGTCAGCCGTAGCGCCCGCGTCCCGATCTCGTTTTGCACGGCGCATGGGTGTCAAGGACCTTGCGGAACTGGCAGAGATCAAGCTGTTTCGCTTGTCTGATAGCAAACTATCGGTCACCGAGTCGGTATCCCCCAAGGCTTCTCTCCGCGCTTCTTCAGCCGTCTTCAAGCGCTCTTCTTCCTCCATTTCAATGGCCACTTGCGCTTTGATCTCTGGCGTCACACGTACCCATGCGAAGGTTCGTAGTTGCGTCACCCAACCTCCTCGCATCAGCCATGCCAATATTTCCATGTATGCGTCACGGTGTTCAGCGCTTGGTATGAAGGTTCTGAATGGCCGTGGAGTGCCAGAAAGCATGCTAAGAACTTTGGGTAACGTGGGTAGAGTCGGGAACCGTTGCGAGTAAAGGTTGATCGCAGCGGGAAGCGCAGTCATGTCTGCATTCGGACTGACAATGTAGGTGTCACGTGGGGATAGTGGAGCTATAAGACGTGCCCGCCGCCAGTATACCAGGTGGCTCGCAATATATTCCATGTCTTGTGCAAGGATGTTATGCTTTTTGGATATCTTCAGCAATGATTTGGTGGGTATAATGTTCCTGATGTAGAAGGCAATGGCGGCAGCATTGCCGCCAGAGTCACCGCCGAGGTCTTTTATCAGTGTCTCTGTGTCTTCAAGGAGTAACAATGCAGCGTGCTGAGTCATGGGTGCATCATCGTCTTCGAGTATCACGTTGGAGGTGGTGAGCCAGAGTCCCGGCATCTGAGGCTCCAAGGCGTTTGGCAGATATGGTGTCGAGTCTGTCTGCGGTATCTGGAATGAGGTGTTGAAGGTTGCGTCGAAGTGTATATGAGCAATTTTGTCGTGAGAGATCGTGTCAAACATGATGGCTATCGACTTTGCAAGTGGTGACATGCCGACTATCTTGCGCCAGGTTGCCGTGACGGACTCATTATTCTCTTTTGCCCGCTGCTTTATATCAATAATGCGCTTCGACTCTCTCCAGACATATTGAAATCGTGCTTCCTCGTACTTGAGTGCTTTGGCATACTTGCGCGTCACATTGTCGTACATTTCCTTGATTCTCTGTTGATACTCCAAGGCTGGCGGATTCAGGACAAATACGACATTGAACATGGTCATGTCAGGGTTGTTAGTGTCATGTGAAGTGGAGTTGCTGCGCGTGTCTGACCCAACTTCCGACGGTGCAGCGGTGCTGGCCATGGAATCGTGACCGTAGCCTGGCTCGAAGCCCTGTGGGTAGACAAAAGCTTCCTGCACGGTCTTGGAAGTTTCTTCGGGAAGATCCTCGGCCTCGCCATCGTCCTCGCTCGTCAGGTTCTTCATCCAGTCGCCCTCTTCGAGCCTCTCTTGTCCAGATGGCTTCTTTTTCTTTCGCCTAGCCTTCTTCCACAGCCCGTCGTCTCTCACAAACATGGGCGCGCCCAAGAATACGATGCTTTCTACACCAAGCTCAAAGCGTCTTTTGTTGAAGTCCCTGTCGGGACTGAGCATCTTCTCCAACGCATCTGTCCTGAAGCCCAGCACCGTGCTCCAATCATGATCGCCTCCCTTGCACCTGGAGCCTGTGCCATTCTCACCGTTGCTCTCATCTCCATCGTCTTGATCGTCTTCGTCATCCATTGTCTCCTGCCTACCCCATAACCCTGTGCTCAGTCTGGACCGGTCGCGGTCGCGCGAACTCGCATTCGTCATCGTCTTGCCCGAGCCACGGCCGCCACTCGTGCGACTGCCAATCTCAATGTCATTTTCATCCTCCGAGTCGGAAGTACTATCCCAATCGCTCTCTGAGCTTCGTGAATCAGCGCTGGCTGTCGATGTATCATGACGAAACCAAGCCGGGTCCTTCGCCGCTGCAAGAGCGGCGGCAGATGGCGAGAGCGGCGGATAATGGAAGACGAGTCGCGGGCCGAGAGAGCGTGATTTTGTCACGAGGAGGATGGCGTGAAGGTTCGAGGCAGGCGGGAGAGGCAGGGCCATTGGGTGAGCGGCTTGAGAGACATGACCTGATGGAGGGAAGAGGGAGAAGGGAAAGTGTAAGTAATCGCACCAAGCTGCGGAGTTGGCGGGGGGAGAATCTAGGTAGCTGTAAGTGGACTAGGAGCACTTCGTACCTCATTCTTAACCCCTACTGCTTTGCACAGTACTCTGCTCACATACTTGGGAGAAAACACAATCGAAAAGTCTGACATGTCGATTCCCATGCAGCGACAGATATCTGGTGGACAATTATGCAGACACCACTGGTCAGGCCAGATTTTTGGAAACTGAAGACATGCTCAGGTCTTAGAGTACCTAGCTGGTGCTGAGCCATTACCTAGGTAGTACCTACCATAGTATGTGCTGTCCTTTGGAGCTGCTGACGACAGTAGCCACTGATCTTCCTCGGTCTTCTGCAATCGCCACAATGCAATTACTACTTGCGCAGCTTTTGATATTCGTGCGAATGTTGGGCTTTATTTGTTGCAGCGCGTCTGCCATGGTGGTTACAAGGCCTTTCTAGTTGCTGGCCGAATTGTTTGCGTAGCACCAACGACGGCTGTGACCACAGATCATTAGGTTGCCTCGTACACCAGCAATTCGTGCAACATTATCGATACAGTCCAGGTATTTGTAGGTAAGACCAGCGAAAGTAATGTTGCATGCCTACTCTACCCGACGCTATTGCTTGCATCGTGACACAATGCGAGGGCGATCAATTAGGCCTCGAACCGATCTGGATACTTTTCGGCTGCACACAATTCTTGTCCAGGTTGTGAAAAGTGCCAGGTATACTGCGGCTTCGAACAGCGATAGCAATAAATCGACGCGTAGCAGCGAGGATGCAGTTGAGTTGATGACGACTTCGACAACCACGGCCATACGAACCACCGCAGATAACAATGGGAATACTCTAGAGGCTGCCATGTCTGTAGTCATGGGCCCGACAGAAACTAGTGCAGGTACCGGTACATGTTTCCTACAGCCCGTACCGGTACATGGGAGCCCTTACTCACATCATCACAGTGGCCTGGGTCTACCACAAGGCCGGGAGCAGGCTGGCGCAGGCAGACGAGGGTGTCTACCTACTCTCCCCCCAATTCTGAACATGTGGGTTATCACCTTGCTGTTTCCGAGGCTCCAAGATCCTTGGCATTCTTTGTGGGTGGAAGTTGGCAAAAGCTTGGAGTAGTTATCATACCTGTGCACTGGTAGGTCCAGCAGTAAGTACATAGGTGCTATTCCAACCCCCCTCAATTGGCCCTGTTCTAGAGTAGTAGAGTATCACAGCTTGTACTACTCTAGCACCTAATCGATTTGACCCACATTTGCTTCAGGTAATGGCTGAGAACGTCAGTTTGGTGACATCACAAGGCCAACAACCTTAGGGACGTTCAACCAATCAGGCTGGGCATTATGCCAAGCTGATCGCTGCCTGGATGCTGTGCTGCGCTCGTACTCCAATATAAAAATCTCTTCGCAAGATGCACCTTTTTAGATCTGAACAGGTTCGCCCATCGGATCTCTTCCCACATTTATCGGGTCGACTCCGGAATTCTGTTTGCTGCATGTGTCTTCAGCCTCGGCCGACCCACTCATCCTCCGAAGTCCGACATCGACTTTGAATGCTTTGCCCACGTCGAGACTAGCAGGTTCACTGTGCATGGAAGCGTCCGCACCGACCGAGGCAACTCTTGCGACGCATGAGAAAAGTCGTTCGACTCATCATCGTACGTAGCATTCGGAGGAAGCGACGAGATTTCGTATTGTTCAGCGCGTCATTTCTTAGACGTGTCCCAGAGTCTAGGATGTTGAAAATTCAAATATTCGATCTGATATATTATAGGCCGCATTGAACGACCACTGAGAAAGAGCATATATATACTTGCAACTTACTCGAAATCCAACTGCTTTTATTCAATACACATTAACGATGGAACACAAACCCATACCTGGCCCTCCAGGCCTGCCCATCGTGGGCAATATTGCAGATATTGATGCCACAAATCCCATTCAATCAATGTGCAATTTAACTTTGCAATATGGTCGGTGAGATTGCGTCAACATGAATTAGCCCACACTAAAGATTGCAGGTTCCATATGGAAATTCTACCTTGGCGGCGACCGTATTGTTGTTGCCTCACAAACTCTCATGGATGAAATTTGTAACGAAGAGCGGTTTAGCAAGGTCATCGCAGCTTCACTGCGTGAAGTACGCAATGGAGTACATGACGGCCTTTTCACATCCTACGGACCCGAAGAGAAGAACTGGGGCATTGCCCATAGAGTCCTTCTACCTCAGCTTGGGCCACTTGCGATCCGTAACATGTTCAATGAAATGCATGACATTGCCTCCCAACTTGTCATGAAATGGGCAAGACACGGCCCGGAACACAAAATTCTCGTGACCGACGACTTCACGCGGTTGACGCTCGACACTATAGCTCTTTGTGCAATGGACTACCGCTTCAACTCTTACTATCAGGAGCGCATGCACCCATTCGTCGACGCGATGAGTGATTTTCTGAAGACCAGCGGAGACCGAGCCCGGAGAGACCCTATTACGCAGATGTTTTATCGTGCTGAGACCCAAAAGTATTGGGATGACATCGCACTGCTCCGGAAGACTAGTCTGGAAGTGATTCAGAACCGCAAAGACAACCCGAACGACAAGAAGGATCTGCTAAATGGAATGTTAAAGGGCGTAGATCCCAAAACTGGTGAGAAAATGAGTGTAAGTCGGCGTACGTATTAGCTTCCATACCTGCTGCTTATGATCATAGGACGAAAACATCATTGACAATATGATTACCTTTCTCGTTGCTGGACATGAGACAACCTCGGGGTTGCTTTCATTCACGTTCTACTATCTCTTGAAAAGTCCAGAGGCCTATAACAAAGCGCAACAGGAGGTTGACACAGTAATTAGAAAAGGTCCCATCACGGTTGATCATCTCTCAAAACTGCCTTACTTGAATGCTGTGCTCCGCGAGAGTTTACGCCTACAGCCCACCGCACCATCTATTGGACTTACGGTCAAGGAAGATGCAACTATCGGCGGAAAGTATGCCGTGAAGAAGGGGGTTCCCCTCGTCGCCTTGCTACCTATGATTCATCGCGACCCCGCTGCATATGGAGAGGATGCCGAAGAATTTCGACCTGAGCGAATGCTTGATGAAGAATTTGAGCGTCGCAACAAGGAGTTCCCCAACTGCTGGAAGCCATTTGGTAACGGGATGAGAGCGTGTATCGGAAGACCATTTGCCTGGCAAGAAGCTCTTCTCGTATTGGCGATCCTTTTACAGCATTTCAACTTTACCCTGGACGACGCCTCATATCAACTCCACATCAAGCAGACACTCACGATCAAGCCTAAGGACTTCTACATGCGTGCACACCTTCGCAATCACGTTTCAGCTACAGATTTAGAGCGCTCGCTCTCGTCGACAACAGCCCACGAGCCGCCTGTAGCCAGCGGCGTGTCGAAAGTGAAGAAGCAGATCAAGGATGGCAAGCCGATGGCTATATACTACGGATCAAATACGGGAACATGTGAGGCACTGGCCAACAGACTGGCCAGCGACGCTGCTAATCACGGTTTTCGAGCGGATGTCGTTGATACCCTTGACTCTGTGCGGGGAAGCCTACCCAAGGAAAAGCCTATAGTCATTGTTACAGCATCATATGAAGGCGCGCCAGCCGATAACGCTGCTCACTTTGTCAACTGGGTAGGCACGCTCAAAGAAGATGAGATGAAGAATGTGTCGTACGCTGTTTTTGGCTGTGGGCACCGTGACTGGGCTAAGACTTTCCACAAGATTCCAAAATATCTTGATTCTACACTTGCCGAGTGTGGGGCCAACAAGTTGGTTGAAATGGGTAGCACTGACGCTGCATCGGGTGATATATTCACTGATTTCGAGACATGGGAGGATCAGGTTCTCTGGCCTGCGATGCGGGAGAAGTATGGATCTGCTGGAGCTGACGGAGAGGGTTCGCTTGAGACTACGCTTGACGTCGAAGTATCTACACCGCGATCGTCGACCTTGCGTCAGGACGTCCGCGAAGCTCGTATCGAAGAGGTCCAAGTTCTCTCCAGTTCTGGAGTCAGTGAGAGACGGCACATTGAGATCAGTCTTCCATCTGGCGTGACCTACTCGGCTGGTGATTACTTGGCAATACTGCCTCTTAACCCTAAAGAAAACATTCATCGCGCAATGAGGCATTTCGGACTGTCGTGGGACAGCATGTTGACCATATCCTCCGCTGGCCCTACTTCATTGCCCACCGACACGCCAATCAGCGCGATCGATGTGCTTGGTGCTTATGTAGAGCTCGCTCAGCCCGCGAGCAAGCGAAATGTGCTTGCGATTGCGGATGCTACAAGGGATGATGCGGAAAAGAAAGAGCTCAGCCGCCTAGCTGACGAGGCTTTCACAGAGGAAATCACTGCCAAACGTGTCTCCGTTCTCGATCTTCTCGAACGCTTCCCTTCTGCGAAGCTTCCTCTTGGTGTCTTCCTGAAGATGCAGCCCCCGATGCGGGTTCGACAATATTCCATCTCGTCTTCACCGCTATGGAACCCTACTAACGTGACACTGACTTATGCAGTCGTCAATCAGCCGGCTCTGAGTGGTCAGGGTCAGTACGTGGGAGTTGCGACCAACTATCTTGCGAACCTTGCACCAGGAGACAAACTGCATGTCAGCGTTCGCCAGTCGCACCAGGCGTTCCATCTGCCCAAGGACGGGAAAAATGTGCCTGTCATCATGATCGCTGCAGGAACTGGTGAGTGTGAATGATGAAGAATCAGAGAAGGGTATTTTGCTAATCGAAACCTAGGTCTTGCGCCTTTCCGTGGCTTCATCCAGGAGCGCGCCGCCCAACTTGCAGCAGGGCGTACCCTTGCCCCAGCCATCCTATTCTATGGTTGCCACTCTCCCGATAGCGACCTTCTTTACGCTGACCTTCTTCAACGCTGGGAACGGCTCGGCGCAGTGTCTCTCCGCTATGCCTTCTCACGTGCTCCTGAGAAGTCCGAGGGCTGCAAATACGTGCAAGACCGCGTGTACCACGACCGAGCCGACATTGTTGAACAATTCGACGCCGGTGCCAAGCTTTTTGTTTGTGGAAGCCGAGGGGTTGGAGATGGTGTGCAAGAATGCTTGATTAAGATTGCGAAGGAACGACAACAGGAAATCAAGGGGCGTGAGGTAGACGATGCAAAGGCAAGGGAATGGTTCGAAGGGTTGCGCAACGAGAGATTTGCGACTGACGTATTTGCTTGAGTGTGCTTCGTTTATCGACATGATGCAAACTTTGCACAACTTGCTACCTAGGTACTATGTGAACATCCAGATGGATATGAAATGCAAGATACTTGGGATGCCACTGTATGCCAATGCCAGAGTCGTATCAGACCTTGTGAATAACTGATTTGCAAATGAAAAGGGGACATTGTGTTACAAGAAATGAACCTCCTTTTCGCGGCAAACGATGTTCTTCGTGAGATAATATTGCACCTCTCTACACAGCAGTCCATCCTCGTCGCACGCTGCAAAAGAAGAACAGTGCGCCAGGATCGCTATTCACCTTCTTCCTATCTTTAGGGAGTCGATGTTGTTCTAGAAAGTTGATTGCAACGCGTAACACTCGCCGGCTAGTCATGCACCAAGATGATGGTGGGTCTGTCTACTTGGCATTATTTATCGTGTGGCGAGGGTGTGGTATGGGAAGTGTGCCGGACCGCCCGTGCTGACATGGGATGCGATGGTCAAATATTGTACGATGTACTTACCTGCCTACTTGCTTGGATAATACCGAGTAGATCCAACTACAGAGTAGAGTCATGCTCGAGAACCAAGTACTACATCCACAGTATTGTTGTACTTATATACCGTGTAAGCATCTGTGCAATGTCTACTGTCTACTGTCTGTTGCCTCATCGACTTCGAAGACGGGCCCGGCAGCCAATCAATCAGCCTGCCAAGTCAACACGCGGCTACTACGCCTATATTGTTTAAAAGCACAGTACTTACCCACTACCAAGGACGCACAATACGTCAGGCGCCCACTGTAAATGTCCGATACATCCCAAAATAAACCTCCGGTGAGGCGCATTTGTTCAACGAAAAATGGGAAGTCTCCACTCCACAACAAGTGCACGGCATCCGGATAGATCGATGCTCCACAGCTCTTGACTGACAAGTTGCGAGCCTCCAGTGCCCTCCACCACGTCATCAGGGTCGGGGTTTGCGGGAGGCGATGGCGGCATGGCTTTAGGGGCAAACAGTTTTCGCCTTTTTATACCACTCGAGGAATCCCCTCGTTTCTTCCCAGGCAAAGTGATTCCAGTACCTATTCCCAAAGTCAGCTTCTAGTTTTTACTGTGTACCCATTATTAGTCTACTTTTTTAATCACCCTTTTACTTACAGTACATACTCATGTGGGCGAAAGCAGCATCCATTCTCGCTTTGGCGTCGACTGCCCTTGCGCAGACCAAGGGGTTCAACTACGGCGCGACAAACGCAGACGGCTCGTGCCGCGGGTACAACGACTTCGTTCGCTTCTTCAATGAAGCCAAGAGTCTTCCTGGAGCACCTGGATTCAACACAGCTCGCCTGTACACATCAGTCCAATGCGGTACCGCAGCCGACCCGATCTCTGCATTCCGTGCTGCTGTTGATACCGACACCAAGATTCTTGCCGGTCTCTGGGCCAGTGCAGGGCGAGCTGCGTACGAGAATGAATTGAATGCATTGATCCGTGGTGCCCAGGAGCTAGGCACGCCTTTTACCGACAGAATCATCGGCATCAGCGTTGGGTCAGAGGATTTGTACCGCAGCAGCGAGCAGGGCAAGATTAACAATGCTGGAGTTGGAGCTACAGGAGCGGAGATCGAAGGGTATATCGGCTGGATGCGCGATTGGATCAGGGGTACTCCACTCGAGGGCAAGCCTATCGGTCACGTTGACACTTGGAGTGCCTGGGTTCTGCCTGAGAATCGCGGTGTTGCAAACAGCGTTGACTTCCTTGGCCACAACTCTTTCCCCTACTTTGAGACTACCCGACCCAACTCTATCGACCAAGCTCGCGAGAATCTGTATGCCGCCATTGGACAGACTGAGAGCGTATCAGGCGGAAAGCCTGTCTGGGTGACCGAGACTGGTTGGCCACGATGTAAGTTTCAGCCATACTGTGAGCTTTCGCGCTTTTCACTAACCTGCTCTCTTCAGTCGGACCCAATTCTGGTGCAGCCGTCGCCTCCCTCGACAATGCGAAGCGCTACTGGAAGGAAGTTGGTTGCTCACTGTTTGCGTCCCGCAACACCTTTTGGTACACACTTAAGGATGCGAACGCTGCTCAGAGAGACATCTCGTTCGCGATTACACCGGCAGAAAATAACACTCCTTTCTTTGACCTGACTTGCTAGACATCCAAATTAAACAAAAGCTTTTTCGACCAACCCTACGTAATATAGCCGGAGTAGGTGCTATTCATTCAAACCAGGTAGCAGAATAAACGTTCGACGTGTGCAGTGTCTACATACCATATACTACGATTAATTGACTGCCCGCACGGCTCCCAAATCAAACGAATACTTCATTTCGTTTGATTGTCGATCTCTTCCGGCCCTATTGTGCAAGATTTCGTCGTTATTTGCAGTATCCAACAATGAGGAGGGCCCACATGGAGTGTGTAATGTGATTATATTGTCCTAGTCTACAGAGGTGACTCCTAAAAGTTCTTGCTAACAGGGGTGTCTATATTACCGCCGTGATACCACTAAAGCTTAGACTCCTTAGTCACGCCACCCCTCCTTATACTTATTACTACCTTAAAGTCTAATAATCTTCTAAATATAATATTATATACACTCTATCTAAGCCTAGATTTAGTCTTAAGGTAGCTTATCCTAAGCCTTTAACTATACTTTTGTACCCTTTACTCTACTCTTAAGAGCGCCCTTCTTAGTAGTTGTGGAAATTTGGATCACTAAGGTTAGGAATGATTTGGGAGATAGATTATTACATTGTATCTACTACAATTGGACTTATATATATAGAGCTTTAGCTACCCTTACTAGAAGGTGTATAATTAGTAAACCTTCCTTACTAGAGCTCCTATTTTTATTAAGCACTTAGTAATAAGCTAGTAGTTAATTAGATAGTAGGTTATATAGGGGTATTAATTAGGATTAATTAGGATTAATTAGATTAAGATACTCTATAATCTAGTTATTATCCCTCCTATAATATAACTACACTCTAAGAAAATAAGCTTATTGCTTCTAAAGAAGAACTATGCCTATTCTTTAGTAGAGATTGCAGTATCTTATTAATATTCTATGTGGACGATATCCTATCGCTCTATTTGTAACAATAAGGCAGAATTGCCTGCCTATTGTTCTATACCAAGTTAGGACTAATAAAGGCCTGACTTACTAATATATATAGAGAACAGCTCGCCTATAGTTAGGATAGGCATGTTCTTCTTATCCTTTTATACAAGACCTATAGGTGTAGGAATCTTATCCTTTTCTATACAGACGCGCACTCCTATATGCCTTTAAGTTATATAGGATACCTTTTAGATACCCTACTTACCTAAGTTATTATATTATAAGAAGAATATTATCCTAGCTAGTAATAGTATTTAAGAATATTACACTTATTATTATTTTTGTAATAACTTAGGTAGGTAGGGCATCCAAAAGGTATCCTATACAACTTAAAGGCATATAGGAGTGCGCGTCTGTATAGAAAAGGATAAGATTCCTACACCTATAGGTCTTGTACAAAAGGATAAGAAGAACATACCTATCCTAACTATAGGCGAGCTATTCTCTATATACATTAGTAAGTCAGGCCTTTATTAGGCCTAACTTGGCATAGAATAATAGGTAGGCAATTCTGCCTTATTATTACACTACCCCCTCCTATAGAGAAAGGATAGTCCCTATCCTTAGGATTAGGTTTAGGTCCCTTATTAAAGAAGAGCTTTTTGCAAATAATTCCACCTTTACCTCTACCTTTACCTTTACTTCTTCTTCCTAGGGCACAGACCCCTATCCTTAGCCTGCCTATAACTAGCCCTCTACCTACTAACTTTCTTATTCCTATATCCCTAATTTTTAATTATTTAACCTAATCTATCTAAAATCTAGTAAGTATTTAATCTATATAATTAAACAGTTGCTAATCTAAATTAGAACCTTTAGCCATGCTAGTACTAGTACTACTAGGAGTCCTTCTAGTCGCTTATCGCGCTCTCTATATAAGAGCAGTTAGGGCTCTAGCTAGGGGCAGGTTTAACAATTTTAATTTTAAGTTAAAGAATTCTAAGAAGTGCTAGTACTATATCTCCTAGAATAAGTATTATAATCTAGTAAGTATCTAAGTCTAATAGGGTTCCTTTACTAATCCTAGTAGATTCCTTCTTTTATTAGCTAAGAGTACTCTGCCTTTAGGGGTGCTCTAGAAGAATACTATAGCCTAATTAGAAACCCTGCTAAAGGGGATAAGGATAAGGAAGCTGTGGTTACCTATTAGAAGGATATTAAGTAGTTTAAGGCTACTATTTAAGAAACTGCCTAAAACCTTACTAAGTGCGTTACTATTACTAATACTTAAACTAAGAGTATAGAAGCTACTAAGATCCTTATAGCTATATATTATACTGCTACATCTAATTTATATTAGCTTTAGAATAGTATCTATAAGATAGTCTTAGTAGTTAGGGGCTTAATAAAGGCTATAAATAAACTTAAAGAGGAATTAGCACTAAATTAGGAGGCAACTTTCTTAGTATAGGCTAAGATAAAAGTATTCCACAAGAAGGAGTCTAAATTAGTCCTAGCTCTAGTCCCTGCTCCTGCACCTACTCTAATCCCTATTGCACTAGTTATCTAGAAGCTAGTAAAGAAGGATAGTCTAGGCGCTATCTTAGCTAATACAGAGTCTAAACTAGGTTCTAATAGAGAGATAGATACAGACTAAAGAGGTTTCCTAGGGGTAGTGTCCTAGGAACCTTAAAGGTTCTAAATAGGATATAATAATAAATAGTAATAAGAATAATAGTAATAGATAGTAGTAGATAGATAGTATATAGCTAAATAGGATATAAATTAGTTCTAATATTAGGTATAATTATTATAAAGTAATGTTAGATCCTCTTTGCCTTTTTCCTAGGCTTGAATCTATTTTAGTAAGCTGCGTAGGGGACCTAGCTAATTTAGATACTATTAGTAGAATACCTATAATTTATAGGGAGCACCTATAAAGTTAGAGGCAGGATACTAAATAGGATTAGGATTATGTCTAACCTACTTAACCTTATATTTTAGCTTAGATTAATATAATTTGCTAGCTAGGATTTCTTCCACCTCCTATTCCTCTACACCTTGTATAGGGGTACTAGGGGGTTTTAGAGCCTCTTATCTAGGTAATAGATCTTAGGGATCTTTGTATAGTATATTAGGAGAAAAAATATTATAGATCTTAGAACTAGGTGGTAATTAGAGGCGATACGCGTTTCCTACTTATTCTAATACCTTAAAGGGACCTTCCTATTGTTTAGATAGTTTTTAGCTAGGTTGTGAAATAGCAAGATTAGCAGTAGATAGATAAACATAGTTACTAACCTTCTAGTTAACTAGACGTTAATAGCAATTAGTAGCAGAGCGCATTTAGTCTTAAGCTCTTTCTATATTTTCTTTAGCAATCTTCTAGGCGTTGTGCATCTAAGTAGTAAGGGATAAGGCGTCCTTATAGTTCAGTTTCTCTAGTATAGTGGATAGGGTCTTTTCTAGTTTCTAATACTAACTTTACTTTAGTAAGGACCTAAAGAGGAGCTAATATAGAGCTATGCTAATAGATAAATGTTGCAGGAGGGATATTAACTAGATCACGGAGCATCTTGATCCCAATTAATCCTAATCAATCCTAGTTAATACCCCTGTATGACCTACTATCTAATTAACTGCCAGCTTACTACTAAGTGCCTAATAAAAAGCAGGAGCTCTAGTAAGGAAGGTTTACTAATTATTCACCTTCTAGTAAGGGTAGCTAAAGCTCTATATATATAAGTCCAATCGTAGTAGATATAATCTAATAATCTATCTCCTAAATTATTCCTAACCTTAGTAATCTAAATTTCTACAGTTATAAGCCTAGTTCGCGCTTTACCTTATTAAAGATCGTCCTATCTATTTAAGCGTATTGTTTAACTTAGACACTAAGCTAGCAAGCTTTACTCTTTATACTATTTCTTAAGCAGAAGCTTACTTATTACTCTTCTACTATAAGCGACCAAATCCTAAAGGGGGATATCCTACTTACTAGATTAACCAACTAGCCCACCTAGTACATTTAATTCAGATACTATGCCCTAACTAAAGGGATCTAGGTAGAGGTAGACCCTAAGGCTCTAGATACTAAAAACCACTTTAACAATAAACCTATTAAGCCTAATATGCTAATAGATATCGCGCTATCTAACATAATAAGCAAGCAGTACAAGCTCTAAATAGCACAGTACTAAGCTCGCTTATTAGATTAGGTATTAAAGTTATTAGTAATCTAGAACCTCTTTATATAGGTTAATAATATAGTAGATTAAGGGATCCTTACCCTAGCCTATATAGAGCTTGTTAATTAAGGAAGAGTAACCCTCTAAGTACTAATCTAAGTGCTCTACAATAACCTAGCGCTAACTAATTTAAGCGCTGCAATACTAGCGAGATTATAGTATAAAGCTTATCTTGCTAAGGCAAAGATAAGTAGCTAAGATACTAATTACTAGCAGAAGGAGTAGATAATCCTATATACACAAGCTAAGGTATACAACGTTCCTAATATTAAAGGATAGCTTATAGTACAGGATTATCTTAAAGCTCTATCTACTAGGATCTTACTAGATTAGGGTAGAACTATATTTTAAAGGATTATTAAAAAGTTAGTAATAGGAGAGCTAACTTATAACCTCCCACAGGTTGCCAAGATCTATTTATTACTGCTCTAAGAGAACAGCATAAGATTAAGCTCTAAGGGTCCTGGAGTGTTTGCAACAATAGGAGCTCCACCTTCTAATTAACCTAAGAAGGAGTCTTTATGCCTATGTAGTAGATCTTACCTATAGAAACCTCCTAAATACAAAAATATTATTAAAGCTTAGACTAATACAGGTAACAAGCTTACTACTACTTAATAATTAGAGATTAAGAAAAAGATTAATAGGAATTAAAAATTTAAAGAGTTAAGAAAAGCTCTAATTAAATCCTATCCTATTAATTAAGATTAAGGTAGTAAGGTAAAAGAAAACGCGATCACCTACCTAGGTAGTATCCAGGCAGCACTAATTAACCCTATGTTAATAGTGGAGAAAACAAACAGGATCTATTTAACTATAGACTTTGAAGCTTACGCTCTATTA